ATAGTGAAGGATAGGGAAGCTTGGCGTGCTGCAATCCATGGGGTTGCAGAGTCAGACATGACTGAGCGACTGAACAACAATATATCCACCTATCAGACCCCCATTATTACTGCTCTGCATGCCTGACCCCAGCTCATGGCCTCCCCACCTCTTTTTTTTTTGGTTGCACTGGATCTTCATTGCTGCACACAGGCTTTCTCTAGTTGTGGCAAGTGGGGATTACTCTTTGTTGCGCGTGGGCTTCTCATTGCACTGGCTTCTCGTTGCAGAGCACAGGCTCTAGGGCCCACTGGCTTCATTAGTTGCAGCAGGCAGACCCAGTCATTGCAGTGTGCCACTCTACCGCGCGTAGACTTAAGTAGTTGTGGTGCCTGGGCTTAGTTGCTCCACAGCATGTGGAATCTTCCCAGACCAGGGATAGAACCCAGGTCCCCTGCATTGGCAGGCGGATTCTTTACCACTGAGCCATCTGATCCTCAGGTGTGAGGATGCGCTGCGGAAGAACAAAGCCCTGATTGGGCCAGACCAGAAGGAGTACCATCGGGAGCTGGAGCGCAACTATTCCCGCCTGCGGGAGGCCCTGCAGCCTTTGCTCACACAGCGCCTGCCCCAGCTGCTGGCGCCAAACACAGCCAGCCTCAGGTGCCTAACCCGAGTCCCCGGCCCACCCCAGAGAGGGCGAGATGGGGCAGGCAAAGCCCGGCAGAGTGTGGGGGCTGCCATACACGTGCCCATCAACACGGGTGCTCTGGGCTTTGCACATGCATGTGAGCACTGGCACGTGTACATAATATTCAAGCTCTGAGCCACCATTTCTGATCCTGGCTAGGTTATTTCTCAGGTGTGTAACTTCATTTTTCTGAACCTCAGTTTCCACATCTGTCAAATGGGTATGATTCATATCTCCAGTGGTGGATTCTATGAAGGAATCTCCAGTTCCATGGCTGGATCAGAACCAACATTAAAGGAGCCAGAATGACCATAGAAGGATCTTTGGGGGAAGGGGAGAAGGGAAAGGAAAGTAGTGGGAGGAAGGGGAGGAGGTGATGGCTGGAGAGCATTATGGAGTTGGGGATCATGTGGCCGTGTTGACCTCCTTTGTTCCTCCCTCCCCCAGGAACTCCTTGAACAGAGCAAGTTTCCGGAAGACTGACCTCTGAGCCCGCAGGGCCTGAAGCCACTCCCAGAGGAACGAGGACCCTGGCCTCAGCTACCTGTGCCTTCCTGATAGTCTCTCCCACTGCCCACTTGGCTGTGAGGCGACCACATCGTGCACGGGACTGGGCCCTCTGTTCCTCTCTTCTCGTCTGTGTGCACTGATGCTTCTTGCCTTTTCTAATTTAAAATGGTTTTTGTAAACAGCCTGTGTGGTGTGGTCCCTGGGGGCTGGGTCCCAGGTGCATACTCGACCTAATTGTTGATGACTGACACTGAGAACTACTCGGGTGCAACAGACAGCAGTGACGACCCATGCAAATTCCTGCCCTTGTAGACCTGACATTCTAGTGGGGAAGGCAACACACAATGTCATGTGTGTTCATGGGGAATAATAGTGACATTTGTTAAACCCTTGCCCGGAGCCCAGACCTGTATAATTGCCTCCCAGAAAGACACTGCCCCATCTAATGGGCCTGGCTGCATGAGGGACAGCCTGCTTCATGATTACAGAATCATCTCAACGCCACTGTCAGGCAGACAGCATTCTTATCCCGGTTTAAAGATGGGGAAACTGAGGCAGCCAGTAGTTAAAGGCTTGGTGGTGTTGAGATTGGAAACCAGGTCTGGCTGGCCAAGGAGCCCAGGCCTTGGCTGAGGTCTGCGGCCTCGCGCTGACCCACCCCTCCCTTCCCGCCCCGCGGTGGTCACGTCAGTGTACCAGGCCTGCTCTGGGCGGCTGGGGGAGGGGTGACCTCCCGCAGTCACCACCACCACGGCCGCCCTCCCTCCAGGAGCTGGACTCCGGCCAGCCCCGCCCCCTCCCGCCCCCCGCAGCAGCCCAGCTGCAGCGGGTTCGGGGAAGACAGCAATAGGGGAACACTGTCGCAGGGACTGGAGGAGGGGACGAGGCCGGACACCCCCACGCGCGCGCACACACCTGCCGTCCAGGTGCGATCGTGTCCCTTACCATCCCCCTCCACGTTGGCCCGGCCGCAGGCGACAGGGGGCGGGGCCGGCCCAGAGAGGGCGGGGCGGGGCGGAGCTACCGCCGAGGGCTGGTCGGGCGGGCGGCGGCGGCGCGCGGAGGGCGCACGGGCGGCGGGACGCTGGGACAGCGGCGGCCGGAGCGGGCGAGGCGAGTAGGACCCGGGTTGGGTCGGGGTTCGAGTCCGGTTCGGGGTTCGAGCGTGGTCCCCACCCCACCCCACCCCACTCTCAAACCCGGGGCGCGATCTCGCCGGTCTCTAGTTAGCCGCTGCCTCCAACTCCATCATCTATGCGCAAACTTTCCGGACTTGAGTGTCGCGGTCCCCGCACCTCTGCGCGGTCCTTATCTTTGACCCTGTCCCTGCTGGTCTCTCCCAACCCCATCCTCCATCCGTACCCCCGTATCCCTTCGCCCCATCACTGCCTCCCCGCTGCCCCTCTCCCCTGTCTCCATCCTCGTCTCTACCTCTGTCCCGTCCCCCTCCTCCCTCCCTCGTCCTCCCTCGCCCTCCCTCGCCCTCCTCCGCGGCCGGGCCGGAGCCAGGCCCCAGGCGGCGGGAAGGCGGCCGGGCGTCCGGCCGGGCTGGGCCTCGGCCTAGCGGCTGAGCCGGCGTGGGGAGCTGCAGCTGTTTGCCATTAGCTGGGGACCCCGCTAGCCCCGCCCCCTCCCTGCACGGGGCGGGGTCCTCCTCGCCCTGGTCTTTGGGTCTTTGGGACACGGGGAGAGGAGCGAGAAGACCCCAGAGACGTCTAGGTTGGCCTGGGACCGGGGCTTTAGGGAGACCCCGTTGGACATCGGGCCGCCTCCGTGGGACCCCACGTTACTTCCCTGAGCCACCTCCCTGTCCCCTCGTGGAGTGGCCTGTCCCCCTTTCCATCTCTCTCTGTCCTGTCCCGTGTGCTCGCCTGCTCCAGGGGTCTCATAAAAGGAGAGAAGTCTGAGCCACAGACACCCATCAGCACTACCCTATCCCCCACCATCTGCTGTCTCCACCTTTAGCCAATCACTGACCCACATGGAGCGTGGCCACATGGCTTCAGACCTCAGTCTCTCTGCCTGGAAAATGGGTGTGTGGGTGGCTTGGCTGGCAGTGAGGGGAATCTACCAAGCTAAGGATTCAAATCCAGACCCAGCTACTTCCTCGGGCTAAGTGACCCTGGGCAAGTCACTGTGTATTTCTTTCTTTTTATTTTGGACGCCCCACGTGGTATGTGGTATCTTAGTTCCCTGACCAGGGATCGAACCCATGCACCCTACATTGGAAGCATGGAGTTGTAACCATTGGATCACCAGGGAAGTCCCCATTGTGTGTTTCTGTGTCCCAAAACACTTCCTTACCCAAGACACCGTAATACACGGTGATAACTACTCCCCTGGTAGGGTTGTCTTGATGATCAAAGGAGTTGCCCGGGTGATAATTATAGTTATACTATTATTCACCCCACCCCCTTCACCTCCGGGGGTCTCCACAGGGGTACCATTCCTGCTTCCTGCCTCAAGTCTCTCTCAGGTCCCCAGAAAATATTTTCGATCACTTCCCTGTTGTGCAGGGGGTGACTCTTCAGGCAGGTGGAAAGCCAGGTTTCCTACAATTGGATGACTCTGTGTTCCAGGCACTGAAAGGAGAAGTGAGGACAGAGACGTAGAGAGACAGGGCGGGAGAAGTGCAGAGAGACAGAGACGTGGAGAGACAGAGACGAGGAGAGAGACAAGCAAGAGGCTAAGCAAGGAGGACGTGAGACAAGACAAGCTCGGCTGCCCCTGGAGCTCCGGCCCCGCCTTCATGCCCAGCAGGTGCTCCACCTGGCCCATCCTCCCAGGTACCCACTGCCCTGGATCACAGCCTGAAAAGAGTGGGATGGGCCGGAACCTCTGCAGCAGGGTGGTTAGAGGTCAGACAGCAAAAAGGACTGGCCGAACTCGGTCAGAGTGTGGGGGACGGAAGTACCCAGGCCATCCTCCAGGTCTGGGGGTGCAGGTTAGTGAGAGGCCCTGATTGTCCCTCCCCTTTCCAGCCTCCAGCACCCCCTCTTACTTCCTCCCTGCACCCCTGTGACTTCCAGGGCCTCCACCCGCCTTCTATCCTTGCTGTGCCCCCGAGCCCCTGAGCCGGACGCATCCTGGGGGGGGAGCAGGAAGTTCTCGTGTAGCCCGGCAGCGAAACTGTTTATTTTTAGAGAAAATTGTTTCCATAAAGGGGAAAGGCTTTTGCTCCTTGCTGCCTCCCCCCAACTTTCCCTACCAGCCCCCCGCCACTGCCTAGCCGGACCCAGCTCTTGTTTGGGGGTCTCCTACCCTTTGCTTTCTCTTTGTGCCCCTGTGTCTCTGTCTCCCCAGATCCTTGCAGGAAGGCTGGCTGTCTCCCCATTAGTGCCCCCATCTGCCCATCTAAGCCCCCATCTGTCCTGGTAGCCAGCTCTTGCCTGGGGTGAGGGGAGGGGGCACAGGAAGGGTGGCGCCTGTCGGACTTCAGCACCCCACCCCCCCTGCCCCTGGTGGGGGGCCTTGGAGAGGCGGGGCTGTGGGAACAGCTGGAGCCTGTCCAGGGGCTGGACAGATGTGCGGGCGGACCGTGAGGTTTGGTTTCTTTGTTCCAGGCTGTGGGGGCCCCCCAACCCTTTCCACAGGCAGGAGGGGTGTGTGCCTGTGAGAGGGTCCCACGCCCAGGGAGAGAGGGAAGTTGGGGAGGAGGGGGAGTGGGGAGGGGTGGCCACCTCCCCTCCCCCTGCAGACTCCTGACTCTGGGTGTCATCACACCCTCTCCCGCCTCTTCCCAGGTAAACCTCAGCCGGTGCTGCAGGTGGTCTGACTCAGTCCCCCCCAGAGACACCCGAGGAGGTCTGCAGGCAAGAGGATGGCCCAGGTGCTGCACGTGTCAGCCCCCTTCCCAGGTCAGGGCTCTCGTGGGGAAGAGGGCCCAGCCTTGGGGTTGGAGGTGGGGCGTGAGGGACACAGGCCAGGTCCTGTGTGGCCTGGATGGGGACAACTCAGTTCTGCCCTCGACAGTCTAATGGAAGAGACGGTCTTTCAGGAAAGGCGGTTGGTCTGAGATGGGAGGCAGGGTCCTGACTCAGTTGGGAGGTTGGAAGCACAGCCCTGCCCTGGAAGGGTCCACAGGGGACACAGAGCTTTGCCTTGGGCTGGGGAGGTGGAGAGGGGCCTGAGACTGGGGTGAGGAAGGGGTCTGAGACTTACAGCTGAGCATTGAACAGCCAGTGGTGTCCCATCCTTTAGGCCAATAATCCATGACTCACCCAGTTTGCCCCCAGGAGGGGACCACGGTGTTCAGAGGGCTGGCTTTTCTCTCTACCTCAGGGACCCCCGGCCCAGCCTCCCCGCCTGCTTTCCCCTCTAAAGAGCCTGAGGTTCCCTACTCGGTGGAGACGCCCTATGGCTACCGCCTCGACTTGGACTTTCTCAAGTACGTGGACGACATCGAGAAGGGCCACACGCTGCGGCGGGTGGCCGTGCAGCGCCGACCCCGCCTGGGCTCCCTGCCCCGCGGGCCCGGCTCCTGGTGGACGTCCACCGAGTCTCTCTGCTCCAATGCCAGCGGGGACAGCCGCCACTCAGCCTACTCCTATTGCGGCCGTGGCTTCTACCCGCAGTACGGCGCCCTGGAGACACGCGGTGGCTTCAACCCACGAGTGGAGCGTACGCTGCTGGACGCCCGTCGCCGCCTGGAGGACCAGGCAGCCACCCCTGCCGGTCTGGGCTCCCTGACCCCCAGCGCGGCCGGCTCAACGAGCTCACTGGTGGGAGTGGGGCTGCCGCCCCCGACACCGCGGGGATCAGGACTGTCCACGCCAGTGGCACCCAGCGCCGGGCACCTGACCCACGTGCGGGAGCAGATGGCGGGGGCCCTGCGGAAGCTGCGGCAGCTGGAAGAGCAGGTGAAACTGATCCCTGTGCTCCAGGTGAAGCTGTCGGTGCTGCAGGAGGAGAAGCGACAACTCACGGTGCAGCTCAAGAGCCAGAAGTTCTTGGGCCATCCTGCAGGAGCCCGGGGCCGTGGCGAGCTCTGCCTGGACCTCCCCGAGGCCCCCGAGGACCCAGTGGCCCTCGAGACCCGGAGCGTGGGCACCTGGGTCCGAGAGCGGGACTTGGGCGTGCCTGATGGGGAGGCAGCCCTGGCCGCTAAGGTGGCCGTGCTGGAGACCCAGCTCAAGAAAGCACTCCAGGAGCTACAGGCAGCTCAAGCCCGGCAGGCCGACCTCCAGCCCCAGGCCTGGCCGCCGCCAGACAGCCCAGTCCGTGTGGACACCGTCCGGGTGGTGCAGGGGCCAAGAGAGGTGGAGGTGGCGGCCAGCACAGCGGCGGGAGCCCCTGCTCAGCGAGCCCAGAGTCTGGAGCCCTACGGGGCAGGGCTGCGGGCCCTGGCGACATCCAATGGGCCCGAGAGCCCCCCTGTGTTCCGCAGCCACGAGGTGATGGAGACGGTGTCCCCAGTGCCCACTGCATCCACCAGCAACGTCCACCAGGTGAAGAAGATTAGTATCACAGAGCGCAGCTGTGATGGGGCAGCAGGTGAGCCATAGTAGGTGGGGGCAGACGGTGCAGGGTCCCTCCTTTTCCTCTGAATGCTGGGGTCCAGCCCCCATCCTATTCTTCCACCAGCAATCAGAACCTCAGTTTCTTCATCTGTGCAAAGGGGACACTTGTGCTGCTGACTCAGTCCCTCTAGGGACCATGTGAAGAAGTTAGGTGTCTGAAGAATTAGGTGTGTGCTCATGTCTGGAACATTATAAATGTGTGGACAATAGGAGGTATTTGGGTGAAGGTCCCCAAGGCTGTCAGTTGCTGGGCAAAAACAAATTCTTCCCTGATTGGCAAAAAATCAGTCTCAGGCCATGAAAAAGGAAATGTGTTGTTCATGTAACTCAGTGACAGCTTCAGGCATAGCTGGATCCAGGTACTCAAATAGCCTCAGGAATCTCTACCTCCCTCTTTCTCTTCCTCTGTGCATCCTGGAAGCTTCTCTCTCAGGCAGGCAGAGGTGATCACACCACTCCTGGCATCTGTTGAGGCAGCTCAGAAAAGGAAAGGGAGCCCCTCAATCCAGATAGCACCAGTAAAAATCCCAGGGGTGACCCTTCTTGGTTGGCTTGGGTCATTTGCTCCTCACTGAGCTAATCACTGAGTTTCTCGCTGCCCAGACCCAGATCCTGGGGGTGGAGGAGCCCCACCCAAGTCCAGAGGGAGGAAGGAGATGCTCCCTGGAGGAACTGCTGAGTCCTCATGCTCGGAAAGGGGATGTGGGATGTTCAGGATAGCAGCTGCCCCACCACCGCCGTCCTGAGGCCCCTGGGAGACGCTGCCAGAATGACTCATAATCCTAACAGCTGTTCTTTATCTAATACCAGTCTGGTGCTGACAGCTCTGTTAAGTGTTTCACCCACCGAGGAGGTTAAGGCAGTGGGCTGTGTAGCAAGGTCACCTGGGTTTAAATTCCACTCCTTACTTGTGTGACCTGAGTGATCAGCTTCACTTCTCTGGGCCTCAGCTTCTCTGTCTGTGAAGTGGCCTTGTAACAGTCCACACCTCTAGGATTCTTCTGAATTAGTGCATACATACAGTAAGCACTTAACCATTGTGTGTTGCTACTTCAGCTACTATTAGTTATTGTGTCACTAAGCTGTGTCCGATTCTTTGCAACCCCATGAACTGTAGCCTGCCAGGCTCCTCTGTCCATGGGATTCTCCAGGCAAGAATACTGGAGTGGGTTGCCATTCTCTTCTTCAGGGGATCTCCCTGACCCAGGGATCAAACCCGGGTCTCCTGCATGTCAGGCAGATTCTTTACCATCTGAGACACCAGGGAAGCCCAGAATACTGGAGCAGGTTGCTATTTCCTACTCCCGAGGATCTTCCTGATCCAGGGATTGAACCCATGTTCTTTTGTGTCTCCTGCATGGGCAGGCAGATTCTTTACCACTGTGCCATCTGGGAAGCCCCCCTACTAATGATTTTCTGGTCAATTCTTGTCATAACTGGGGAAACTGAGGTTTGCAGAGAAGTTTCACATGTCCTTTGTCAAACATCCAGGATCTGAGACCAGGCTGTTCTGAACCTATAGCATGCCTCAAAGATTCAGCCCATTTCCTCATCTAAGTCTCAAATAATATCAGGTAGCCAGAGCCCTGTAGAGGCACCAGAGGGTACAAGCTGGAGGGCGGGGTCCCAGCTGTGTTTTCTTGCTTCCCCATGTTCTTCCTGGCCAGCTCTGGACTCCACCCTGTGTTCTGTGTCTATCCCAAACACCCAGCCCTGCGACCCTGGCCCCCAGCCAGAGGCCCCGCCCAGCCCAGCCTCTGGATCTCTTAAGAGGCAACCTCCATTCCAGACGTGCCTCCCAGCGCAGCCACGGGGCCTCCTGCCTGCAGGACACACAGACCTAGCCATGTCCCCACCTTGTGCAAGCGGTCACCCCCCAGAAGTTCTTTCTGTGTCTCACTTAACTCCCTCTTGCTGCAGCCAGCCCCAGTCTCTGCCTCGCTTGGGCAGAACTGGCATGTGCTAATTCATTTCATTGCCTTCTCATCCAGCGAATATTTACTGAGTGACTGCCTTGTGCTAGATTTTTCTAGGCACTGGGGACACAGCAGTGAACAAGACAGACGAAAAGCAATAAACAAATAGCCCACCAGAAACAAGCGAAGAAAAATCATTTCAGAGAATGCATGTTTGAAGCAAATAAAACAGGGATGTGGGATGGGTGGTGCTTGGATGGCGTGGAGGCCCATGTTCAAATTCTGGTTTCCTTGCTCCCTAGGTTCGTGCTCTTGAGTGAGCTGGTTAACCTCTCTGTGCCACATTTGCAAACTGGGGGTGGGGGTGGGGGTGGGGTGGGGTGGTGGTGCTGACCACCTAGTGGCTCCAGATCAGTGTCAGCTGAAATGCAGCAGTTGATGCTGAGTGTTCAAGATGGTATCAGGCACTGGTAGGTGCTCACGGGTTAGCTGTTGGCTCTTTGAGCCAAGATGTGAGAGAAAAGAAGCACCTGGCTGGTTTCTTGACAAATGTTTTGTTTTTCTGTTTTTTGGCTCCACTGCACGGCATGTGGGATCTTAGTTCCACACCCAGGGATTGAACTCGTGCCCCCTGCAGTGGAAGCACAGGGTCTTAACCACTGGACTGCCAGGGAAATCCTTGACAAATGTTTCGACCACTTAGGTTGGTCATGCATAGGTCAATAAGGAGGCTGGGAGGAGTCCAGCCTTTCTGCCAGAATTTGCTAGCTGCAGCAAAGGGCAGGAAGGGTGAGAGGCAGCCGTCGCCTCAGGCTGGCAAAGGTGGATGAGACAGGCAGAGGCCCGGGACCCCCATAAACTCATTCACCCCTCACCTTTCAAAGGCACCACAAAGAGATTCCTGGGAGAAGGGGCAGCCAGGCACCTGCATCCATGGGGTCTCTCCAAGGCTTTGAAATTTCCTGTGTTATTGTTTGAAACACAGCCCTATGAATGCAATTCATATTCTTTGTGGAAGGTTTGGAAAGTACAGAAGACTCTGTAAAGTGAAAGTCGCTCAGTCCTGTTGGACTCTTTACGACCCCATGAACTATACAGTCCATGGAGTTCTCCAGGCCAGAATACTGGAGTAGGTTGCCTTTCCCTTCTCCAGGGGATCTTCCCAACCAGGGATCAAACCCAGGTCTCCCACATTGCAGGGGGATTCTTTATCATCTGAGCCACAAAGGAAGCCCAAGAATACTAGAGTGGGTAGTTTATCTCTTCGCCAGTGGATCTTCCTGACCCAGAAATTGAGCCAGGGTCTCCTGCATTGCCGGCAGATTCTTTACCAACTGAGACAGAAGACTCTAGAACACTAAATAAGAGCTCCATAAACCCACCACTGCCCAGACACAGCTGCTATCAACACTTCTTCTTTCCTTCCGATTTTTTTTTTCTCATGAAGAAAATAATATGTATTTTTGGAGTCTGGCAACATGTAACTGATGGAATTTGTTGTGTTGCCTTATTTTCTATGTAAAAGCATCTAGGCAGCCCTTACAGTGGGCCAGGGCATTATGTGATGTTCTTTTTGTATCTTAATTCATTGACACCCCCAGTACTGCTTGGAAGTGGGTGGTGTTTCTATCTCGATTTTACAGATGTGGAAACTGAGGCACTGAGTGGTAAAGGAATTTGTCCATAGTTTTCAAAGCCAGGATTTAAATCATCTATTTCTTTGATTTAACATTATCCCAGGGACATTTCATCATGTTATTAAAAAATTTTAGGGGAATTCCTTGGTGGTCCAGTGGTTAGGACTCCAAGCTTTCACTGTCGAGGGGTTCAATCCCTTAGTCAGAAAACTAAGATCCTGGAAGCTTCAAGGTGTGGCCAAAAAAAAAAATTACTGGAACATGCTATTTATCTTTTAACAGACTCTTTGTGACTCTTTACTGTACAAAAGAAAGAAGAACGTGTTAGCCTTGTCCGACTCTTTGCAACTCCATGGACTATAGCCTGCCAGGCTCCTCTGTCCATGGAGTTATCTGGAGTGGGTTGCCATTTATTTATTATTTATTGCCATTTATTATTTATTAATACTGGAGTGGGTTGCTATTCCCTTCTCCAGAGGATCTTCCCAACCCAGGGATCGAACGCAGTTCTCCTGCATTGCAGGCAGATTCTTTACCGTCACGAAAGCCACCAAAGGTGCAATGCAGATTTCCTTCTGTGGGAACCTTTCATCTCCTGCTTTTTTCTTTTTGGCTGCCCCATGCGGCTTCCCAGGATCTTAGTTCCTGGACGAAGGATTGAATTTGGGCCCTCTCAGTGAAAACACCGACTCCTAACCACTGCGCCTCCAGGGAAGTTCCTAGAAGAACAGTTTTAAGGACCATGGTATCTGTTACCAAATTGCTTTATTCCCCCCAACCCTGCTAACCCCATGCTCTGGACTCTCCCTTCCTGCACTAGTTGGCCAAGTGATTTAAATTTTTTTAAAATTTCTTTTGGACTTAAGGAGTTAATCTAATTCTTGGGCCCATGGCCCAAGAGCTTCACTAGCCCCATGGAGCTAGGCATGGCACCTCTCTCGTTTGACTTTAATTCTTTTTTCACCTTTGTCTTCCAACCTCACTGTTGAGGATTGATAAATATTTTCAGCTTTGCGGGGCATATGATCTCTGTTGCAATGACTTGACTCAGTCGTGCTCAGTTCTTTTTTCCCCCAGCTTTACTGAGGCATGTTTAATATACAAAAATCTGCATGTTTAAAAAAATTTTATTTTGTATTTTTTTTGTATATAGCTGATTAACAATTTTGTGATAGCTTCTGATGAACAGCAAAGGAACTCAGCCATACATATTTGTGTATCCATTCTCCCCCAAACTCCCTCCCCAGGCAGGCTGCTAAACACTGAGGGCAGAATTCTGTGTGCTGTATAGTAGGTCCTCGTTGGTTATCCATTTTAAATATATTTGTGTGTACATGTCCATCCCAAACTCCCTAACTACCCCTTCCCTCATCCTTCCCCCTGCCTCCCTGGCAACCGTAAGTTCATTCTCTAAGTCTGTG